AGAAGGTGAGGAGCATAGACAGGTAGCTCCTGGGGACTACTCTTCAAGAAGTCTGTTGGTGAAGGAGAGAGCCAGGGAAGTAACTTGATGGGGCAGCAGCATTATGAACAAGCTCTTTCAGGCAGCGAAAAATGATGCATGTTTTTAGATGGAGAGGAAAGACCCAGAAGAGAGAGAGATTTAAGACGTAAGGCAACCGTGGAAAATTTAATGAAACAGGTTCCAAGAGAAGGGAAAATAGATGAAGGGCACAATGGGGAGGGTTGGCTTTTGTAAGAATGAGTTATTTATGTCCTTAGCTAAAATGCGAGGAACAGCAGCGAATAAGTGACAAGAGATTTTCACATATTGAGGTATTTGGGGTAACTACTGGGGTTCAAAAGTGATTCGTCCTGAACTAAAAAAGCCTGACTTATGGCCTATCAAACATACATTGTACACCGCTTTAACCACTGAAGGAAAGAATACACTCTCCTAAGAATGCATACTTCCCCTCCTACTCCTTATTGGTAACGCCAGTATTAGTCCCTTTTCTGACATCAGAGTCCTGTTGATCTGCTAATTTGCAAGTGAATACTTCTTTGAAACCTTGATGAATATGTATCCTGGGCGTGTTTAATGTATGTTCTTTGTTCTAAACAGGTATAAGACTGTACTGAAAACCATGCTTCTCCTGAACACTTTTTTTCCTTTCTGGAAAGGCCTTCCCAGATCATAATCCTCAGTTTGGCTCAAGTAAAACTCACCTTATCTCTCCTACCTACAGTGGTTACTGGTTATTTTGGTTGACAGAAGGGAGACAACAAACATAAATGATCAGATAAAAATAAGGAAAGTTGAGTGAGATAACATCATGTTGTTTTCATATCTTGTATAGAGGGTGAGAACAGAAGGTATTAAGCACAAAACTTAAGGGCAGTGGAATCTATTTCAAAGATGACTTAAGAACCAATTAAAGATAATCCAAAGGATATCTGAGAAGCAGAGATGGCCCAGTTAAGGTTACTTAGAATAAATTACAGTAGTATCTATTACAGAGTAGCACTAATTGGCTGGAAAAAGAAAAGTGTGTGGCATAGACTGGACTGTGTGATTGGCCAAACTGCCCATGGAGGGAGCCAAGTTGGTGAGGAAATCAAGAGAGCTAGTGAAAATATCGTTGGAATGTCCAATCACAGAGTGGAGGGATGGGAGGTCACAGTGAGGATAAAGAACCAGTAGGAGTGAGGAACGGGGAGAGAGGGCAGAGAGATGTTGTGTTCAGAGAGAGATGTGGAAAGGGAAATTGTGACCCAGGAAGGGAAGATATCATGAAAAATGGTAATCACAGTAACATGGGTAGGAAAAGGGTGGCGGAAGCAAAAAGCACAGATGTAAAAATAGGAAAAATTATTAAGCAGGGACATAGTGACCTTGAAGTGCAGGAAGGAACACAAATATTTTTGACATCCTATTAGTTGGAAGGAATGGCCTCTTGCAACTGGTGGTAAGGAAAGTGATCTTTTATGAGGCAGACCATTTCAGTTAGGATAAGGCAACTGAAAGAGCCCTTTTGTGAAAGGATCAGACCAAATTTGCTACTCCCTTCTGGTCCAATGAAATTCAAACTTCACCTTTGATCTGGCGTTCTTCTGAAAAGAAACAACTTATTATAAAAATGCCCATTTTCCTCTATTCAACTTTCTGAGTTTTTTTTTTGGAAGATTAGCCTTGAGCTAACTTCTGCTGCCAATCCTCCTCTTTTTGCTGAGGAAGATTGGCCCTGAGCTAACATCCGTGCCCACTTTCCTCTATTTTATATGTGGGACACCTGCCACAGCATGGCTTGATAAACAGAGCATAGGCCTGCACCTGGGATCAGCGAATCCTGGGCCGTGAGGCAAAGCACACGAGCTTAACCGCTACACCACTGTGCCAGCCTCCAATTTTCTGTTTTTTAATATGTAAACTACTAAGTATGGTGTTATGGTCACAGGCATTGTGTCAATTACATATTTTTAAAGAAATTTATGATGAAATTGCTAATTCTCCAGATTACTTGCTCCCACTTCCTACTTCTCTAGTCCTAGCAAAAAAAAAACCCTATTTTTCTTTATTTCTGGATCTTCTCTCTAATATTGTACCAGTTGATTAAAGTGTTGACTAAAACAAACTATTATTTTGTGACGATATATTTCTAAAGAACTGTGTAGGCACCGAATCATATTTCTAAATAATGAGAATGGCAATAAATAATACATGGAAAAGTTGCAAATCAAGAATGGAATTTACACCTAAGAACTTGGGTTTTGGCTGATTAGAGAGTTTGGTGTATTACAGGATCACCATGTTGACACCAATTGAGGTGGTTCATATACCAGGGCAAGGGGGAAAATAAAGCTTTCAATGCCATAAATATTCCAAGATAAAACAGCCTTGAAAAGCTGATTTTTCTGCTCTCTAATAGAGTTTTATATACATTCTTTGGCAATGGTCTGAATACAGTCACATGCTGCATAATGGTATTTTCAATCAACGATGGACCACATATACTATGGTGGTCCCATGAGATGAGTACCATATAGGCTAGGTGTGTTGTAGGCTATACCATCTAGGTTTGCGTAAGTACACTCTGTGATGTTCACAATGATGAAATCGCCTAACGATGCATTTCTCAGAACAAATCCCTGTTGTTAAGTGATGCATGACCGTACAAATTTTAGAGAGACATACTAAAAAAAATCAGAAATTGTATTTTCATCAGCCAAGAGTTGAACAGAAGACTTTAGTCATCCATTAAAAAAAATGAATGTACTCTTAGATCAAAGCTGTAAACATGAATAACTGTTTTATGTACCCTTCAAAGGAGTAGAAAGTAATGCCTCATTGGTAATTTTTCCAGGATAAATAAAGAAGGACTGGGGGGGGGGGGGGGGAAGTCATTTAAAAGAGTGGAATAGGCCAGGAAAATTAAAATTTAAACTTTCTATTAATTTGGAGAAAAACTGCCAGGAAATATATGGGAAACTCACTTAACCTATATACAAAAATTGTAACCATTGAGAGAGGTTCATTGATTCTCTGGGTCAAACTGACACATGGCAATCGTACACATATATCAAAAAAGATGCCAACCACACTGAAGGCCAAAGTCTGAGCAATGCACCTGAGCAACAATGCTGCTGTGATGTTCTCAGACACTGGCTTTAAACGTATACCATGCTGACCATTATTTTCCACCAACATCCTACTGAAGTCTACTCATGATGGATATCAAGATGGAAATTACTTTCCACTCCTTTCCCTCTCCTTCCTGACCACCATAAATGATGAACTCAGCAAGGGAGAGTGAATTCAGTTGGTTAAGTCTAGACTTAGCAGAAATCATGTCACTTTTAGTCAATAGCAGTAGTTCAAAATGGCTGGAGCATACAGAGAGTTTCGTGGAGAAGTAGTGGAATTTTACTTTTATCCTACAGTCTAAGGATCGCTACTGCATGATTTTAATGATGGGACAACTTCACCTTTTGGATGGTTCAGTATGGAATGGGGACAGACAAGAATCAAGGAGTATCAATCTCAAGACAGTTGCAATGGTCTAGGTATGAGATGATGGGAGATATAACCCAGGTGCTATGGACTGAAGTGTGTCCCTGCAAAATTCATACATTGAAGCCCCAACACACGATGCAATGATATTTGAAGAGGGGGACTTAGAGAGGTTATTAAGCTACGAGAGTGGAACCCTCATGATGGCATTAGTGCCCTTATAAGAAGAGACATGAGAGAACTAACTCTCCTTCCTTCTCCCTGTCTCTAGCATGTGAGGACACAGCAAGAAGATGGCCATCTACAAGCCAGGAAGAGGGCTCTTACTAGGAACCACATTGGTCAACACCCAGACTGTGGGACTTCTCAGTCTCCAGAACTGTGAGGAATAAACTTCAGCTGTTTAAGCCACCCAGTCTATGGTGTTTCGTTATGGCAGCTCTAGCTGATTAATATACTGGGCATAATCATGAAGAAAGAGGAAGCCATATTTGAGAGACATTTAGGAAGTGTACAGGACAAAGGAGTCACATATCTGACTGTATTCTGCACCAATTACATAATGAAAGAGTTGTTATGCTAATAAAAATACCAACACATATTGACTGCTTAATATGTTCCAGAGTGTATTAAAAACTTTATATAAATGGACACTTAATCCTTCAAACAGCTCTATAAAGTTAAGCATTATCATTATGCCTGCACTACATATGAGAACACTGAGGAAAACCAGGCATGTTTCAGAACCATACAGAGGGGGCATTATTTCCTAGAAATCAGAAGATGAAGGGCTAATTTGCCAGATCAGATCACTTCAAATTCTTCCTGGGGAATGGGGTCTAATAATTACTTTTATTGAATTAGAGTTCTCTAGGTTTAACTTCATGTTTACGTGTTATTTTTCTAACTGAAAGTTTGGATAACAAAATGGTTAAGGGGTGACATATTGGTGTTAGCAGTAATGGCAGCTGTGGAGAGCTTGAGTGTCACCTGTGTTTCTAATTCCAGCTAATTGGACACTTTCCTAAGCCTCTCATTTCCTTGATCTTCTTGTCTGACTACAGGAATAATAACATTTGCTTCACAAACTTCTTATAAAAATTGAGATAATGTATACAAAATGCTTAGCACATTGTCTGTCATATGGTGAGTCTTAATTGGTAGTGGTGATGATGATAATGACTATGACCATCAAGGCCAAGTCAATTCACACCTGTCACTTATCTGCAATCCAGCCTTTCACTCTTTCTTCCAACCCTACCATATGCATGCTCTGTGCTCTCTGTCCACCTAGAAAACAAATGTAAATTAAGTTTAACAGTTTAGTACTGAAATAGTTTGAATAGAGAACTACCCTGTCCTCCTCAGGATTCAAATGAGACCAGGTAAAAGGCAGTTCACTGAGATAAAGATAGTCAGGAAACTTGAGTTCTAGAAAACCCCAGCTCTGCCACAAATTATCAGTCCCTTTTCTTCTTTGGTTATGTGTATAAATTGGGAGTTTGAACAGAAATTTAAGCTTTCTCTCAACTCTATGATTTTATTTTTCACTTTTTATCCTGATGTGCTAAGCCTTAGGAAACTAACTCCTGATGTCACTGTTCTAGGAGTTTTTAATGAGCAATATCAAATCCCAAATATTTTCAAAAACAATAATGAAGAAAACAAACATTGAATGACTACACTCCATCCTTCAGGCTCAAAGATTTCTGATTTGAATCTTTGAAGACTGAGGTCATAGGTATAAATCTAAGCAGAGGATGAAGATCCATTATGTTTCTTTAAATATTTTGGATTTTCCCCACCACTATAGGCAAAATGTGGGAAGATTGAACTGTGCTCATAAAGATTATTCAAGCTCAAGTGGAAGAGATTGTTCATTGTCTATGAGAAGCTCTGGGGTTTTCCTTAGGTCCCTAGGCATTGTTTTTTTATTTTCTTTTCAGAAATGGAACTGAGAGTAGACTACAAACAAGCAGCTTACTGCCAAGGACATGTGAAACCTGTTATATTGGTCATTCTGGATCCTATTCAAGCACGTACTGTTACTAGGTAAGATTGCTTTTACTTTGCTTTAGTGTAAGCCTCATTTTGCTTTAGGAAAAAAATCATACTGTACTTTTCCATTTTTACTTATAAACATTTATGTACGTTTCTGCAAGCAATAAAATTTAAAGTGACAATGACATACTTATAATTTTGGTGTGAGAATAATAATAATAGAATCAGAGTGTCTCAGCTCCTGATTGCTACATAATAAACCACAAAACTTAGTGGTTTAAAATAATTATTTCTCACAATCCTACCATCCGGGCTGGGCAGTTTTTTTGCACTGTGTGGTATCTACTTGGGCTGGAGCCTACAAGAAGGCTTCTTCACTTACATGTCTGGAATCAGAGCTGGGACGTCTGAAATGACTGGAGGCTGGCCAAGCTTGTCTATTCACATGGTCACTCCGCATGACTAGCTTGGGGTTTCTAAATCACGGTGGTCTCAGAGTAATTGGACTTCTTACATGGTGGCTGGCTTCCAAGAGAAAGGAAGCTGAAACTCTAGTCTTTCTTAAAGGCTAGATCCATTATGGGACAGTATCACTTCCATCACATTATATTATTCTAAACAAGTCCAAAGCTAGTCCAGATTTAAAGAGGGGAACTAGACTCCACTGCTTAATGGGAGTAGGAGCACACTTGCAAAGGGAGGGACATAATTGATGGTGGCCATCTTTGGGGAACACAACACAGAGTGTATTGCATTTGCCAGAAGTTCTTTCCTTTTCTTCTTTTTCCTTTGGATTTCACTGAGTTTCTTTGAACTCTTTTTGAAATTTTTAAAATGTCAGGATAAAAAAATCTTAACTTTAGGATGTAAGGGATGATAATTTTGTAATACTCATTATAACAAGTTTTCAATGATTTTCATAACAGCAATAGAGTCTAGATTTATATCGTTATTGTTGTTCACTCTAAATATGAAGAAATGGAGCCTGAGAAGAAACGGAAGCATGCATCGTCAAACATGTTTCCAAGGAGAGAAGCGAACATTCCAGTACCAGGAGATCCCAAATACCTCACATTCATGTTATACACAGCTAGCTGGATCAAGCTGCCTTTATATTTTTGTATATAATATTGAAATATATGTGTGGGATTTTTATAAGAAAGGGATTTGTAATCACTTACTTCCTCTTTTTATTCAAGTTAATTTTCCTTCCTTGATCTATGAATCATTCCTCACATAAGAACTGGCTCTTGAATCAAAAAGGAGCCAGTAAATTCTGATGAGCCCAAAAGGAGAGATGAGCTTATCATTGCCAGGGATCAAAACCAAACCCTAAAATTAAGGCTTTGTTTAAAATGCTGTTTGCAATACTGAAATTTAGTTCAGGAAACATAACTTTATCCTGACTCATTCTCACTGTAACACTCACCCCACTGAAGGGAGGAGGAGGCCAGTGAATTTCATTAGGAGCCACTGGCCTTCAAAAATTTGGTTCATAGCAGTCAAGACAGCAGAAGGGCCAAGAATGCCAAGCGGTCATCGCTGTCCCAGGCCACGCTCAGAAAGGGAAGGGACGCCATCTTTGGGAGACTACAGCAGAGTGTATTTTACTACTAGCAGCTCTTCTCTGTTCTCCCCTTTCCTTTGGATTTCAATGAGTTTACCTGAACTCTGAAATTGTAGGATATCAGGAGTGAAAAAGTCACTCAAAATATAGAATGTAAAGGGATTGATACCTAGCAGTCATAACAGCATGTAAGTCTTGATATGAAATTGCTCTAGTTGTCAAGCACATCTAACCTGCACAAGAGGGATTAGCTTGGAGAACAGTTCTATAGAAATATGGAAGATGCCAGGCCTAATGAAATGATTGATGCAAGCTCTTCGGTTATTCAAATAGATCTGATGCTGGTGTTAACTAACACCATCTGTCTACCAAACCTACAATTCTAAGGTAAATAAATAATCCTAATCATTCTAGTTACTAAAAACAAAAAATAGCTTGGCTATAAGGAAACTACAAACTGACCTTTCCTTCTCACAATGCATCTTGCCCATTGTTAAAAGCGATTTATAAACAAACAACAAATGCTTGACAATGTTGGACCAAAAATACAAAAATTTAGTGTAATTTGTAAAACTAGGAAATTGTGCTTTGATGAGAAAAGTGGATTTACTTTCAACTCTTGATTTCTTACTTGAGAATATATTCCTCATCATACTATCTAATATATCCAGAAATGCTCATCCAGTCCAAAAATGCAGGGCAAAATATAACGAACCTACAAACCACTGAAGCGGCCTCAGGAAAAAGGGCTGCTTTTGCATGCTTGGAATTGCAGAGAACTAAGCTGGAGACTAATTAGAAGCACCCCTCTTCTCAGGTATGAAGTGTACATGGGGTGTAAAAAGTGCAGGTTTCCCAGAGGAAAGTGGGAAGAAGCTGGTACCAGTCTGTGTGCTGCCTTTGAAGCCTATGTTTGCAGAGACCTTAGCTGCATCTGCTTGCACCATGGAATCTGAACTTCTGAGTGGGGTGTGTGCCATATATAACAATAAGAGAAGCAAAGAAAAGGCACTCATTATCCAGTTTTTCAACAAGATAGACATGGGAACTTTCAAAATGTACTAATGTACTAGAATTTTCAGCATTCTCCCACCTCTCTCTCTTTTTTTTTACAATGTAGATATTTATTTTATGTGTAGATGTGTTAATTTTTAAATTTTTTCTTTAATTCTGGAAAATTCTCAACCATTATTATCTCATCACATCTTGCTTTTTCTCCAATCGCTGCCTTCTTTTCTTCTGGCGGTCTAGTCTTATACCTCTTAGCTCCGTTTTCATAGTTCTCTTTTTCGTATGTTTCCTTGGTGAATTCCTCAATTCTACCTTCAGACTCTAATTCATTAACTTTCTCTTCTGTGTCTCATCTAGAGTTTATCTCAAATATTAAGATATTTTAAGATTTCAACTAGTATAATTTTCATGGCCAAGATTTCTGAAAATTATTTCATTTTCATATTTGTCTTTTTAAATTTTATTTGTTTATGTCTATTTTTGTTTTTTATTTATAAGTGCTTTTAGTGGCTATATATTCCTTTAGAGCAGGGATCAGATGTCAATTTTTTTTCTGTAAAGGGCCAGATATTAAACAGGTTGTGCAGACCACGTGGTCTCTGTTGTAATGATATATTCTCAACTCTGCATTGTGCAAGCAGCTGTAGAATATATGTAAACAAATGGGTATGGCTGGGTTCCAAAAAAAACTTTACTTAAAAAACAAGTCACTGCAGCCACTTTGGAAAACAGTTTGGTGGTTCCTCCAAATGTTAAACATAAAGCTACCATAGGGCCCAGCAATTCCACTTCTAGGTATATATCCAAGAGAAATGAAAACACAGGTTAAATACAAAAACTTGTATATGAATGTCCATACCATCATTCTTTATAACAGCCAAAAGAGAACACAACTCAAATGTCCACCAACTGATGAATGGATAAGGAAAATGTAGTGTATCCATACAGCGGAATATTATTTGGCAATAAAAAGGAACTCAGCAGTGATACGTGCTATAATAGAGATAAACTTTGGAAAACATTATGCTAAGTGAAAGAAGCCAGACAGAAAATACCACATATTCTATGATACCATTATATGAAATATCCAGAATACGCAAATCTATAGAGATAGAAAGTTGATTAGGACTTACCTAGAGCTCAGCGAAGTAGAGAATGGGGAGCGACTGCTAATGGGTATGGGGATTTTTGGGGGATGATAAAAATGTTCTAGAATTAGATTATGGTGATAGTTACACAACTATGTAAATATACTAAAAACCACTAAACTTTACAATTTAAACAGATGAACTTTATGGCATGTAAATTATACCTCAATGAAGCTGTAAAAAGTAAGTAGATAAAACGGAGAAACAGGTTAGTGGCAGGTAGGACCGTGGTTTGATGATTCCTGCCTTATAGTTTCGAGGAGTCTAACATACTTGTCAAAGTTATTTATAGTTTATTATATTTTTAAAATTTTTTCTGGATTAAATTCATCTTTTTGATTGCTGACTTTAAAGGCTGTCTTTGCTAGTTTTCTTCCAGTGTTTGAGACTTATATTGCAGCTAATCTTGAGTAGAAAGCATTTGTTTCTTTGCTTATTCTCTCTCTTTCTGTGACTACATTTTTCTGTCTAATGGTTATGTGGTTGCTTCCACTTAGCCCTCCTCTCCAAAGAGGACTGGTTTGATGTCCTGGGCCTCCTGTTTCCATGGTGATGTATGGATGTGGCAGGTACAGTTTGTGAACTCTGGAGAGCTTGGTCCAGATACCTGACGAGATGTTTTATCTGCTTCCTCTTTGGGCTCCCAGAGTCCTATAAGCCAAAGCTCAAGCTATCGTGGCAGCTTTTTTTCAGGCTCCTTTCATTCAGGTGCTACTGCTTCAGTCTACCTGCCTCGGGAGGGACCTTTTAGTTCCCAATTCACAATCACAGCTGTTAAGATACTCCTGCATCCACTGGCTTGTGGATCCATAAAATATCAGGTCCATGGCTTCAGCCCAGCTTATCACTTTGCGTTCCTGCTCTATTTCTAATCCACACAGATGTTCATCTTCTTTTTAGTTGTCTTTTGTTATATCTTGGCTTTAACTGCTATGTATATGGAACAGGGAAGTGGACAAAACATGAATTTATAGTGACATCTTGATTGAATATTTTTCAGGTCAATGCAATGGAATTATAGCAGAAAGATTCAAAGAGAATATCAAATGCTCCTTGGTAGAGTAGACAGACATTTTTTTTTCTAGAAATTTGATTCGAGGTAAGTGTAGCATTTTCAAGTGAAGATGAGTTATAGTAGCTTGCAAATAAAATATAAAATATCAGATCAGAGGTCAGAGCTGAACATCTAGTTCCGGGAATCATAAAAGTCAAGGAAAAACTAACAGTCCTAATAATAACTTTCAAAGGGATATCTACAAACAGATCAATGAGATTAATCCTTCGTTTTCTACTTTTGATGATATAACAGATTCCTCTTCTTCTTA